GACCTGTTGCATCAGAGAAGCTATTAAAATAGTCCATCACAGCCTGAATAAATGCAGCATCACCTCTACTAAAGAGGATAAGGTCGTCTGCAAATGAAATATCAATAATATCCAACTTTGCACATTTGGGATGGAACCGGAAGTTAGGTTGGTGATGCACCTTCTTCAAACATCTGCGAAGGTACTCCATAATGAGGACAAACAAGAGAGGAGAGATTGGGTCCCCTTGCCTAATCCCTCTCCTAGCTTTCATTATCCCACTTTTTTGTCCCTGAATATTGTATTGATAAGACACAGATTGAAATCCATTCAATGTACCTCGGGGAAAAACTCATCTCCCTCATGATAGTTTCTAGAGCTCCCCATTCCACAATATCATAGGCCTTCTGAAGGTCCATCTGAATAGCACATCTTTGAGAGATATGCTTGCAGTTGTAGCCCCTCAAAAGTTCATGAGCTATGATGATGTTGTCATGGATCACCCTGCCAGGGACAAAAGCAGCTTGCATGTCGTCTACAATGTCAGAAATTACTTTACTCAACCTGGATGTCAAAATTTTTGGTATGATCTTGTAAGTAGTGGTGCAGTAAGCAATAGGCCTAAGGTCTTTCATAGTCTTGGCACCAGAGCTCTTAGGGATCAAAGTAACTAGAGTATAATTGACAGCATGATGGAGTCTGCCATTGTCAAAAAAATCCAGAATAGCTGCAACAATATCCTGTTTTATGAGAGACCAGCTGACTTTAAAAAATTTAGCATTGAAACCATTAATTCCTAGAGCTTTGTTATTATCAATTCTATTCAGAGCTTCCTCAATCTCTTTTCTAGTATAGTTATTTAAATAAAAATAAATTAGTTAAAATTATTTAATTAAATAAAAATAATCCATTAAAAATAACAACCTTCTCAATTATTTAATTAAATAAAAAATTAAAAAAATAATTCACTCCCACATTTTAAATTAATTAAAATTAATTAATTAAATAGTTTTTTTGTTAATAGCAAGAGAACAATATCAAGTTAGTGGAAACATGAGTAGTGGAAATTTTTCTAGAAACTACATAATATTTTATTGAATAAAAGAAAACAATATCAAGTTAGTGGAATAATTATTATTAAATAAAAAATATAACAAATTAATTAAAAGAAAAAAATTAAGTAAGTAAAATAATAATTATTAAATCAATCAATAAAATAAATATAGCAAATTATAAAATTAAACTTTTAACCCCAAAAGTTATTAAATAACTTAAAAACTTATACTTAAAGAATCAAATCTTTATGGCAAAAATATACTCACCTCTTTGAAATATTGTAAAATGACACGAAGACTCTTTCTAATTTTTAAATATATATTAATCTTCAGTAATATTTATTAAAATGACACTAACATTTTCTTAGGTTTTAATGTCAAAAAAAAAAAAAAACTGTGTGTATATGATTTTTACTTCTGTCACTAAATTTTGTAGTGTAATTTCTCCTATTTTAATTATTAGATAAGTTATTCCTAAGAATGGAGAGAAGCTCAAGATTACATCTTCTCTCCATAAAAAAAAAGTGGATAAGATAAAACCCAACCCCATCAAGGTAACAAAGAAGCCCTTAGATTTTGAGAAGTGCTGTACAAAAAACCCAACCACACCAACTGGTTGAAATTGCTTAACAATTGGAATTTAACTGGTGCTTTATGATGTCTCTCACCACGGCAGCTCTCATGCTACCGCAAATATCACCGGTCATATGTTCGGCGGCACGTCATCCGCAGAAAACAACTGACCAAAAGCCAGCACAAAACTCAGGTTTCCGCGGCGGCAAGAAAAAGGAATCGCCATGGCATTGTGTGGAAGGCTGCGGAGCTTGCTGTAAGCTTCAAAAGGGTCCTTCTTATCCATCTCCCCAAGAAATTTTCACCAACACTTCAGATGTTGAGGTCACTTTTCAACCTTCTCTCTCAAACACTTCACAACAACAATTCAAACATGCTTAATATACTCACTAGCACCGATATAACATTCTATAGTGTGTATTGGATTTCAGCTCTACAATAGTTTAATAGGACCAGATGGATGGTGTATTCATTATGAAAAGAGTACTCGAAAATGTTCCATCTACTCTGGTATGTGCATAAACCATTTTTCTTAGTTTTTAATTCTATGATGTTAGCTTTAGAGTTTGATTTGTTCCTTTTGTGTTCTTCGTTCAGATCGTCCATATTTCTGTCGTGCAGAGCCTGAGGTGTTTAAATCGTTATTCGGAGTTAAAGAAAAGAATTTCAACAAAGAGGCTTGCAGGTTCACCTTTCTCAATTTATGATGTTTTCCACTTACGTTTTTGAGAAATTTTATTCAGCTGAAAATGTTGTTTTAGTGAGAGACATTACTCAAAGTCTGTCTATCTTATCGAACCCTCTTGTTTTTTTATCCTTCTAGTTTCTGCAGAGACTCAATAAAGGCAGTTTATGGTTCCAATTCAAAGGAGCTTCATAGTTTTGACAAATCAATCAAGAGTTCTTCTGGTTAGAGTTTCGATTCTCAATTGCTCAAGGTCGTTTTTCGTGTCTTTACCTTTGATAATCATGTGTGTAGGTAACAGTTTTCTTGTTTATAAGTTCTTAAAGTATATGTAAAAGCTGCAGGTTCACAATACATAAGTTTTGATCACTTGGAAATACAAGCTTATGTTTTATCAACTGTTTCTTCTCAAACCCTTGGTTTATGTTTGTGTAATGCTAAACATTTTAACAGAGTTTTGAAACAATCTGTGATCCACTTGACACAATCTGCTGTAGGAAATATATTTCTCTTTTTTTAGCATTCCAAAGTAACTTTAAAAAATTGGAAATGGAGAAGATTAAACATGACAAATTCATCCAAATAGAAACTGTGATGCAGAGGGAAAACTAACCTCAATAGAAATGACACAAAATTCACCCAAACCAAATTTTATAAATTATATAATTTTAATTTTGATTAAAATGATTTAAGTTAAATCTGTAGATTAAATACATATCATTTAACGAATTTAAATTGAGTTTTCTATTTGTTAAACAAAATTTTTACAACGATACTTGTAAGATAAAGAAAATTGAAAGAAGGCCTCAGAAACCATTTTGGCGTGCCTAAGAATTTCAATCAAAATATTTCAAAATAGAACAGATCTGCTTGCAGCACATTGCATTTAATGTGACTGCTAAGTTTTTTTCTCTCACAAATTTCATACATTAGAAGTAGTTTTATGTACTCAAACACTTGGATGATGATATGATATGGATGTCTTTCAATTTAACTAAGAAATTTTAGGTTCAAATTTATTTACTGGAAATGCATTAGCAATTGCATGTAAAAGAAATAATGTTCAACACCGGCAACAATTAAGTCTTATTCTAGTAGGTAGAGTCGGTTACATGGATTAACTTTCGCCATAATGTTTTATCAAAAACCATATTTTTATTCAAATCATTAATTTCAAGATCTTTTTTAATAACTTCTCTTATATTATTTATAGGTCTTCCTCTTCCTCGAATTGTTTGCCTTCTCTCCATATGATATACTCTCCTTACTACAGAATATTCATGTATTCTCTCTACATGTCCAAATCACCTAAGTATATTTTTCACAATCTTCTCTACTATATGCGCTACCTCGACACTCTCTCTAATATTTTCATTTCTAATTTTATCATATCAAATCTTACCACACATCTATTACAACATCCTCATTTTTGCTACACTTACTTTATTCTCGTGTTGATTTTTAACCGTCTAATATTAAGTTTTGTGCAAAATCGTAGGTCTTACCGTAATCCGATAAAACTTTCCCTTTAACTTGAGCGGTACCTTTGCATCACATAAAACGCATGACTTCTTTCTCCCTTTCAACCATTCAACATGAATTCGATGGCTTATATCCCCTCCTATTTCTCTATCATCTTGTATTACGGACTCCAAATATTTAAATCGTGTGACTTGGGAGATAATATGATCACTTTCACCTCTAGGTTAGAAACGCTTCTTCTTTTGTTGAACTTACATTCCATATACTCAATCTTACTTTTACTTAAGCGAAAATCATGTGTTTCTAAAGCTTGTCTCCAAGTTTTCAACCTCTCATTTAAATCCTCCTCCAACTCTCCAAGAAGGACTATATCATTTACAAAAAAATATGCATGTCAGTGCTAGTTCTTGGATGTGTTCCGTGAGTACATCCAAAATTAAGGTAAAAAGATAGTGGTTTAGGGTTGAACCTTGATGCAAACCAATTGTAATGGGAAAATCGTTTGTCTTCCCACCCTGTATCTGAACACTAGTTGACACCCTTTAATACATATCTTGGATAACTCGAATATATGCAATCCTAACCCCTTTCTTCTCTAGGGCATTCCATAAAATCTCTCTAGGTACTCTATCATATGCCTACTCCAAGTCAATAAAAATTAAGTGCATTTCTTGATGTCCATCTGATACTACTCCATCTCACGCCGTGAAAGATAAATTGCTTCAATAGTCGACCTTCCCGATATAAAACCAAATTGATTCTCGGTTACTTGAGTCTCTTTTCTTAATATCCGTTTAATCACTCTTTCCCACAACTTCATGGTATGACTCATAAGCTTAATCTCCATATAATTTGCATAATTTTGTATATCCCACATTGTTCTTTTAGATTGGAACTATAATGCTTCTTCTTCATTCATCTGACATGCATTTTGACCTCATAATTTTATTAAAGAGTTTAAGGAGCCATTCAATACATTTATCTCCAAGAATTTTCCACACTTCAATAGGTATGTTGTCTGTCCAACCGCCTTACTGTTACTCATTCTTTTCAATGCTTCATTTACCTCTTGTTTTTTAATTCGACGATAGTAATTATAGTTTTGATCCCTTTCTCTAATGTCGAGTCTGCTAGAGTTCAGTGAGATATCATATCCTTCATTAAATAAATTGTAAAAATACGTCTTCCACCTGTCCTTTATATCTTTTTCCTGAACTAAGACTTTGTCATTTTTCATCTTTAGCATACTTCCTTTGATACAATTCTCTAGTCTTTCTTTCTCTTCCCTTAGCAAGCCTATATATAGATTTTTCTCCTTCCTTGGTTTCTAGAAATTGGTATAATCCGTCAAAAGTTTGGGTTCTTGTTTCACTCACCGCCTTCTTGGTTTCATTCTTAGCTTTCTTGTACTTTTCCCAAGATTCAGAATTTTTACACCTAGACCACTCTTTAAAACAATTTTTTTTTTTTACTTTAACTTGACTCTGAACACTTTGATTCCACCATCATGATTTTTACTCTGAGGTTCAAAACCTCTTGATTCACCCAACATCTCTTTAGCCACTTTTCTAATCTCTTGGGCCATCTTATTTCACATATCATTTACACTTCCTTATGGTATACCAAACATTCCCTACAAGATTTTGTGTTGGCAAATTCCTTGTTTTCACCCTTCAAATGCCACCACTTGAACTGTGGCGCTATCATATACTTCTTCTCTTTGCTCTCCCTTTAATTCTTACATTCATAATTAAAACTCTATGTTGGGTAGTCAAACTCTCTTTTGAAATAACTTTACCGTTCAAACAAATCTTCCTGTATGATAAAAAAGAAATCTATTTGAAAACATGTCATCCCACTTTTATATGTGATAAGATGTTCATCTCTATTTCTGAATCATTTATTTGCTATAGTAAGATCAAAGCAGAAAAGAAATCATGTTCATACAAAAAAAAATTATGTGTTACATTCTCAGCCGCCAAATATGGGCAACACTGCCATTTCAAATTCTATTTTTTTCCTTTATGGTATGCTTTGTTTTTTAGCAGTTGATTTGAAGCATGAAAAGAAAGAAAAAAAACTTGATATTTTGTCCCATGTTTCTGCTAGAGTAACTCCAATTCAAAAATCTTATATGACATTCTCATGTTTCTGCCTGTGTATATAGTTGACAGGCAAAGCAAGCGCTCTGAATATATCATGAAATTCTAGGTTTGATATATCTTGAATATATTCCAACGTTCAGTGTCTCGAATTCAGCCAATTGCCACTCTAAAGAAATAGCATTGCACAGCCTTTTATGTTTGTTGAAGCTTTTTCTCTCTCCTTTCAAAGACATTAGACACAAGTGAGAAAGGTTATTAAGCTTATGTCTCGTGCGTTCTAATGCAATATTCATGTTAATATCTGATTATTATAATTGCAGTACTTGCTGCTGCCTTCTTTTGAGAAACAACATTGACCAGGGTCTAAACACGAGTAGCAGGAAAACATGAACTCCAACTAGGAGACTATAGTATGCTCAAACTCATAATGCCAATATTATATTGTTTCTGTTAGATTGTTGAGCAGATTACTAAATGGTAGCCCTATTTTGTATATACAAATTTATGGATCGGGATAGTTACACGCCAAACCAATTTTTCATCTTTCTTATAAGCAAAATATTATGGTTTACCCTACTCTGTACAAAAGGTATATATTGTTTATTACCATTATATCAACGAACTATCAAAACTCAGATCATCCTCAATGCCATCTCCATTTTCAAGTAATTTCAGAAACCGAGCCTGGTTTTCTTCCTTTCTTTTCTTCCGCCAGAACTTATACAAACCCATCACTCCAAGAAACAGTACGATTGAGACCAAAGCCCCAAGAAAAACCAGAATTGCTATATGCTTTCTGCGCTCATCAGAAGAGCTAGAAACTGCAGAGCACGATTACGATTACAATTCGTTTTGTTAATTATGGTGGATTTATGATAATGAAGAATCTCCAAAGCAAAAGTTGCAAGATACTCACCATGAACAAGAGATAAACAATCCGGGCACAAAAAAGTAGCATTGAATTGCTTTTCTTTGAACTTAACATATTCGCCACGGGGTGCAGTAAATTCAGAAGGACAAAACTCCCATTCATCATAAACATCACCTGAAGTAATGCTGTCTTCCTCATAGAGTCCACACCACTTGCATTTTGTACTAGAAAAGTTACTTAAAACCTGGAAACACATAGCAAAACATGAAGATTGAAGAGTGAAGACAATTGGAATTCAATGTCAGGTTCCAAAGCAAATTACTCAAATGGTTGATTATTAAAAATCAGAGTCATAATTGTTTATATAGGTCAGAGAAACTTAAATAAAGAAAAAGCAAATTAACCTGCCAAGATTGTTGACCATTGAAAGCATAAGCGAAGCGAGGTCTCTTAACATCTTGAAACACCTTCTTGTTCTCTCCTTTACAAAGAAAATAAACAGTTGAAGTCGTTCTTAGCCACTCGCGGTTATCGAAGATCTCAATCGAACTCAGTGACACAACCGCACATAACATCAACCCTGGAAAGTTGGCCAAGAACACCAAGAGTGCGAAGGAAATTCTGGAATTGAACAACGACATGGAAGTGTGTGTGAGAGAGAGAGAGAGATTCGAAACTCGGTGTAATTGAAATTGAAAATGATGAAAGAAAATGATGAATTCTGTTATTTGGTTTGGAGAAGTCTAGTCTACGCGACGTGGGCATTACGCACCTGCTTACTAATTTATTTTGGCGCCAACCAATTCCATTCACATCAACTATAATCACGACTCGGTCAAGACTCAAGACTGCTATCTTTTTTATTATTGTGGTCCATATTGTGGTCAATTTTTATAAATTTGTTTATGCTTTCTATTTTCACAACAATAATGCCATTAGCAAATAATTAATATCAAAAACTTTTTAACTACTTCATTTTTGTCCAACTTCTTTATATATTTTTATCCATAACTTCCTCGTTGGGAGAACAAAAATCAATCTGATGGTAACCAAAACAAATCATCTACTTTTCTTGTCATCTTCCAGAATATGCATTAGAGCATGATTATCGGTGTTTTTTGAGAGTTCCTACACATTTATTAAAGAAATTGTGTCAATAATAAATTGATATTTCATTTGTTTTCACGTTCCTGAACTAAAGCACGTCCTCATACTAAAACACGCTTCTACACTCCAATTAAGTGGGTCATGATAATAAATTAATAAATAAAATTGTAAGAATGTAGTTGATTTGTTTTAAATGTGAGACCCATTTTAGATTTTTTGATGAGTTACATGGATATTTGAGAATTGTAGATGAGTTGTTTAAAAAATTGAGAAGTGTGAAATAATATAAAAAATTATGTGGGTCTCATTTAAAGAACCCAAATGAGTATGATGGATGTGGATGCTATTAAATTCTTTTTTAAGCGAATATTGCATTGTTTGTCTCAAGTTCTAGTATGTTTCATTTCTTTTGAGAAGAACCTCTAATGTATTATGAATTGTGATCACTAGCCGCTATGGATCCGATAATTGTGATAACGTCAACAACAGTATAGAACGCGAGAGATCTAAAGCTTTGATTGTTCTTCTAAACCATTTTTAAAAATATGGATTTGACTGAGAGCATCAAATTCATGGTTCAGTCATTTTCTCAGCATCAATCTGTATCGTTCTCTGTTCTCACACACATTTTTAGTGGATCCTTTAGAAAAAATAGTTATACTGATATTAGTATAACTATTAATAATTTTTTCTCAAATGTATTCCATGTAGTCACGGTCTCTGTAAATGCATCAAGATACATGTTTTTTTTCCACGATTAGTGCGTGATAAAAAATCTTTAGTGTTCTGTTCAGAAATTAGAAATGAGTTGAAAAATGATGGTGATTGTGAATCAAGGCTTCCGGTCCCGTGAAGTGTGGGAATATGTAAGATTAACACTCCAATGCTCAAGTCAGTATATGAGAAAGAAAAGTGAAGTAAAATTGAATTTCAAATTTGTTATCTCAATTTGGCTTCACCTCTATATATAGAGAGAGGGAAGTAACAAACTCACTATTTGTTAGGAGTGGATTGTAGAGAGTTGTTGGATGTACTTGCAGTTGAGATCTTTTGTGATTAACAAGATGATAATTCTTGTGTGTTGAGAAGATTCTGGAAGGAGCGAGGTCCTTTCGTGGTGGTCATTCGGGGTTGATATGGCCGGTTCAAAACAATTATCCCTCAAGCCCTTGTTCATGTGTAGCGGGGCGAGGGTTTGTTACACCAGCCTCGAATGTTGACCACTCAACTTATCACCTACGGGCGGGTGAAAGAGAAACATTTCAGTTTCCTGGGGATTCATTAATTTAATGCTTCATGCTTCCAAATGTCTTTTCATAAGTGATATCATTACAGATCTTGAGAACTGAAACTCCTGAGTGCTACGTGTGAGTGATTAGACATATTTGGTGTAGTATTATTACATGTTAGACTCTAATCTTCAAAGAGTCAGTACCGCTTTTTTGAGTCATTCTTAGTGTTCTGGACTGGGCCCGACAGGCCCAAAAGCATTACTAAGGCCCAGTCCAAAGGGACTCACTAAGGACCACACTGGGCAAAGGGGGTCACGTCCATGCCCGACACCCTGATGTCCACCTCGACATCTCGGTGTCTAGCCCCACGATGAAGTCCCACTCGACAGCATGCCGTCCAACTCTATGTCCTCGCTTCCAGCTCGACACCCGCCGTCCAGCTCGAGGTCTTGGCGTCGAGCTCGGCACCGTGCTGCGCAGCTCGACATGGTCTCGAGCTAACTTGCTAGGGCAGACTTAGTCCTCCATTGCCCCAACGATACTCCGGAAAGACCGCGTCTCCGTCCGCCCGCACTTCATGCAGCATATCCAGGAAGGGGACCACGTGCTGGTCCCCACTACCCACGTAGAACCTGGCAGTTCCTCCATTGGGCCAAATCCGCCCGGCCCAATGAAGGAACCTTGGCCCAGCGCTGGGGGCTATAAATACCCTCTGCTTCCAGAGGGTCAGGTATTCATCATTCTAACCTCAACTCTATTATCTGCTCGTACTCCCACTGACTTTAGCATCGGAGTGCCTTGCAGGTACCCCCCCTCCTCGTTCAAAAAGCCTTCAGCTCGGAGTAAGCCGTGACGGTCCAAACCTTCTGATCAGGTCAGATCAGTGGCGCCGTCTGTGGGAAACAGCTTCCCCGTCTAACGAACAGTTTCAAAGACCAAAGCTCAATCCATTCACTGTCATGGCTACCCCAACTCGTGAAGAACAACACACCCGCGTCCTCGACACCAACAACGGTCTCGCGGACAAGAATGGGCATCTGGACAATCCCACTGATGCCGGCCACAATACCATCCCCGTGACAACCGCCCCTGGACCTTCCACTCGCAGGGACGGGAACACTGCGTCGTCCTCGACACCTCCTCCAAGACTCGAAGACGACCCGGAGGCTCTCGCCTATCGCCAAGCTGCCCGGTTCCATGAAGTCCAAGTCCCTCCCGGGGCAGATGCCACGACTCAGGCACTGTTCGCGGCCATCAACCAGACGAACTA